AGACAGACAGACAGACAGATAGATAGATAGATAGATAGATAGCATAGTATTTACTTGCCTGAATTGGAAAGTCATGTTGGTAATCTTCATCTTAATCTCTTCCCTGTGTCGCTGTTCGCCAGTTAATTCATAAAGTTGCTTAGCCATTGTCTCGTAGATCTTAGCATTGCGCTTAGCCTTCTTTAGCTCTGTCACATACTCTTCCCAAATGTACACAAGAGCTTTCATCTCAGAATCCGTCCAGTTACGAGCCCTCCTGTGCTTCTCGTTCGAGCCCGGCACTGTGTAACTAAAGCAGAGGTCCTCAGAGGCCATTTTAAGAACAGATTATGTACCTTTCGCTCGGGTTTATGATTTAAGCTCGGTTCTTTCTCAGTGCAGTCTGTTTTCCTGGCCTTACTTTGCTTTCTCAAGCATGTGCTTGTGTGTGCGAGAGACAGGCCTCTGCTGCCCTTCCCCCCATACTTAGTTAAGAGGCCTCAAAATGGAACCTGGAGGGCTGGAGCAATCGCTTTAAAAGCTTTTAAAGAGGGAAGTTCGTCAGCATGATGTCAAGTCACCCTGGCAACAGCCCGTTAAGGCCCTCCTCTTCTAGCCAAACCCTTCCCCTTCTCCTCTACTCTTTTGTCTCTGTCAGTCTGCAGCAAAAAGCTTTTAGCTGAAAGCCAACAAAGTGGGTCGGAAGAAAATCTGCATGTGAAATATGACTCCTCTGGGGACCGAAAGCGGTAGAGTGTGCTGTTGCCTAGGCAACCGGTCTCTCTCCAGGCCACTTAGTCCCAGCGTTTATGAGCTTAAAAGCTTTTAATAGAGAAGGGGCTAGAGGGACATTGCAGAGAAAGTGCATTTGCACTTGATATAACACCTTGAAAACTACAAGAAAATTAGGTTGTTTTGGTGTCAGATCCAAAAATAAGCAGTCAGGCCGATTTTGCATTAAACTTGGTCTAAAAGGTTTTGGAAACGCGCACCTTAATTTTGCAGGCATGTTGCGGCACGAAACTTGTTTAGGTTAGTGTAATTACCCCTCTGGCCCTGAGGCCTTACCACAGTACATTTGCCCTCAAACACTTCCTCGACTCTGACCTCACCCCGAGTGTTTCAGATTACTAGATCTTCTAGCACAGCTACAGGGGGTCTTGGACAGGACTTTGGGGGTAGTGATTTGGGGGGCAGGGTTATCTTTTGACAGATTACCAGCTGAAATGACACACGGTGCATGTGCTTCTTTATGGCTAACTCGGTGTTAACCGCATTATATGCTTCGCCCATCTGTCTAGAAACGCATCACCTTCACATCAACTTCACTCTGTTAAAAGACATTTGGAGACATTCCAGACTGACATGAGCACAGATATACATTACGGGGAAGGACAGCTTGGCTTCATAATCATTACACCATGTTACACCAATTAATATATCAATTAATATATTACTATCTATCTATCTATTACTATATATCTTACTATCTATTACTATATATCCTCTATCTATGCTGGAGCCAGATTTACATCAAACCCTATCTAGATAGATAGATAGATAGATAGATAGAGATAGAGAGAGATAGAGAGAGAGAGAGATAGATAGAGATAGAGATATAGATAGATATAGATAGATATAGATAGATAGATAGATAGATAGATAGATAGAGATAGATATAGATAGAGATAGATATAGATAGATAGATGATATAGATAGATATAGATAGATAGATGATATAGATAGATATAGATGGATAGATAGATATATATATATATATATATAATACACATATACACACACATACATATTTTGAGATTCATACCACCAAGCCCTTTGCTCTTTGAATTTGTTCAGGGTTATGTAACACGTATAACATAAAAGCATTAATTAACAAGCTGGATCATCTTCCTGTAGAGGAAATGCCCTGGTCTTAGGGGGGACCAGATGGTCTGTTCATTTTGTGTCATGATAAAATTTTAATTCAGAGTGAGAGCGAGAGAGAGGGCAGCCCATCCTATTGCCATCTTGACAGTCTAGTGCTGATTTTGGGCCATTTTGAGAATATTGTAGTAAAATGGCTGTCTACCAACAGCCTTGTCAAGTAATAATGCTTTTTGTTTTGGCACATTTTGTGAAACTATTATGGAAAATAATTGTTTAATATTTACAGCATGGTGCATACTAAAATGCTATAATTAAATTGTGTTATAAATGGGTACTTTTATCACTCATAGGCCATAGAGCGAGTGTGGATCCTGCCTATTGGTTATTTTAGTTGAACATCGCCCCCTACCGAGTCAAATATTTAGTGCCTGACTGACATAACTAAACAATGCAAAAAGGGCCACATTTTTAACGTGAGAGAAAAAAAAATAATTAAGTTTAAACTGCGAAGAAAATGAATCCAAACCAGCATTTCCTTTTTTTGAGTGCCTTTAATATTTATTCAGTATTCCAGCAGCTATGTAATATGCAAGAGTTGTTTTGTACATTTTATATTATACAGCAACATTAGTTCTCCTAGCTCCGTTCTCTGTCTTCACAGTTTTCGTCCTGGCAGCCTGCCATTTTCACTGTTGTCTCCATAGCAACTATCATGAGGAACGTGGCTGGTCAATACATCAAATCATACAAGTGCGATAAAAGAAATTTTAAAAACTTCACAGTGGGAAAAAAAACTAATAGCTTATAAGAAAAAGTTAAATCAATTAAAAGCATATTATAAAAAAAATGATAAAAGAAATACTCATTTCCTTCCACAACATGCTTCTGGATGCAGGGGAAAATAATTGTGTACATAAAACACATACATACAGCACATCAATTATAAATGTAAGCTTACACATTTGCATGTACATACATGCAGACGTTTCGTCAACAGCTTTGTAAACAGGACCACCACAGACCTACCGAGAACCGACCAGAAAGGCAACCGGAGATAGTTTGTCCACAGGATACAACTTCAACGGACTTAACAGGGTAGGTTAGTTGCTCTTCATAACCATTTAAAAGGCCCACACCTTCAACTTTGGAGAATCTAAACCTTGATGGTTCCTAAACTGGTGATAAAAAAAACACACTTTTATTGAGCTTGGCTCAGTTTGCGCACAGGCCCTGTTTGTAATTCCTCGCTCTCCGCCAGCAAATCCAATCACAAAGAAATGAGTTTTCACTAAATTTGTGCATTGTCCATCTGTTGGCCACCAATCTCACCTTGGCTCAACATTTCTTTAATACTGATCAACAAAGCAGTTTGCACTGAATGTCTCTTTCAGTCCCCGGACAGAGATTGGTTTCCATCCCAAAATCAATGACAATGCAGGTTTCTCATTTCGACATTATAAAATAATGTAAGATACAATAAAATAAGTACAAATATAAGTGGTTAATGTAAATACTGCTGCAAACATTTCGAAAACTATGTCGTCAAATAAATACCATGGTTATTACTGGAATGTATAATGTTAACAAGTGCCACTATGAGGCAGTAAACATCCCCGTTCCAGCATCTAAAACTGCAACTGGAGTTTCAAAGTCAGCAACAAGTGGCGCGGCCTCGGTCATCGCCTCTGCTCCGAATGATACAACTACATGCACAAGTACCTTTGTTTTGCGTACCCTTCACAGAACTACAATACATTATTAAATGGTTGAACAGACACCGGCAGTTCGGTTTTTCGTCTATGTCTGCAGCCCACTAGCCACAAAATTGCACCGTACCAAATCTAGTTTCTGTGGGGAGGATACTAACAGGAATTTTCAAAAAGACAACGGCTCCACCACAATATCACGCACAGTGCAATGTTGTTTGTAAATTACAGCTCTTGCAGCTGGCCGTCCCACTTCTGACAGGCTCGTACAATTTCTTTAGCAGTAGGAGGGCTAATATCACTGAAAAACCTGAGCGATGATGACTTAGAAACCTTTAAACTTTGTGTTTTTTGATTTCGAAAGTGTCTCAGGTATTCAGAGAAACAAGAGCTGGGAATTGAATTCAGATTTGGCAACACTAACACAAAAAAACATTCAGTCTTTGTCGTCCCGACTTGAATTTTCAGTCCCTCAGACACTGTTCCTCAGTGATGCCTTGCGCCCTCAGCTCTTCCAAGACGTTGTCAAGGTGACCGGAGTCTGGGTAACCGTGGCCGGTCAGGTTGGAGCCAAACTCGGTCTTGTGATGCACCTCGTTCCAAATGACCGTATCGGTCTCGCCCGTGGTGCTGGATGTGCCCACCGAGAAGATCAGCCGGCGTTCCCAAGCAATCAGCAACAGCTTCAACACCTATCAGAGCAGGAATTGTTTAGAATACAAGCTGAAGAACCTCAAATGTTGAAGTTGGAATGTGTAAATTAAGAAGAGAAGAAAGTCATGGTATCTTAAGGCTTTTTAAGACCCTTTTAAAGACCTTGCATCCTACACTGTAAAATGTCTATTTAAAAAAAAAAAAAAAAAGTAAAAAGTTTTTATAATACTATAAACTTTACATTTCAGACCCAGGAGTCAAAATTATAAATATTTATATATGTATATATATATATTATATATATATATAATAAGTATCTCTCTCGCTCGCTCTCTCTCTCTCTCTATATATATATATATATATATATATATATAC